GCTAAATGTTAAGTTCGGCAACCCTGATCTGTAAGTCACACGACGTGCCATGAGCTAATGGCGTCTATACACGACACTACTCTCGAATTATTATTAGTCTATGTAACAATTTCCATTATACTCCATTTCTACCTGAGGTACGCACCCTACAGTTATCCATCGAATTCTATAGACGGGCGACCATTTTTTATTACTCTTATTTTACCAATAATTATATTGAAAACTAGTTATGCCTCCGACTCAATTTTTTTTTATTTATTATATATTATAGTTACCTTATAGACTAACATACATACGAATTATTATTATATATAGAAATAAAAGATGTTTATCTAATTTTATGCTTGTATGTGCTAAAATCATTATTAATTACCAAGAAGCTTGTAATTTTGGAATTGAAATACATGACAGAAACCAATCAAATCGATTATAGCTGCAATAAATCAGTTATTGATTATTACTTAATATCCATTTCTTTATTGTATTATATTAATATATATAAATGCTATTCAAATATTTTTTATATGTCAGATATAGTTCGTGCACGATTTTATTATATGTATGATTGCTATCTAATATTTGCAAAGCAAAAATAAGTCAATTACTCTAAAAATAAAGATTTTTTGGTTATGTTCAAATGTTTGTATGTGTTAATAGCCAAATATTTTAGGAACTAGTTTGTCCTTCTCTATTTTTCAGTAAATACTAATCAATATTTAGGTGTTTATTACTAAAGTGTGGTATTCGCTTTTTTTATGGTGCATTGGAAAGAAATACGAATCTTAATTAATCAAATTCTTTATAAGTAAACAATATATGAAATTACGTTTCCTTTAGTTTCTAACAAATAATTCTTTGTTATATTGAGCTATTTACCGTTTGTTTAGTTATTTCGGGAAGCCCCTTCTTAGTCCAGATGTGCACTATACAAAAATTATCTACTTGTGACTGTTCTTAACTGCAATTATCATTCTATCGACTAAAATATTGTGAATAATAAATATATAGGGGAACCCCTTCATATTTATTTTATAGAATTTTATTTCACGTTAAGTAATTAATATCAGATACCTGCACATGCCAGAGGAATACAGGTTGTATTACTATGTAGCATTTATATTAAATTAAAGTAATGGTTTATAAATAGTACAAAATTTAATGGCATATGGTATTCTCTTCCAGTTAACCTATTCCTCTGCTTAATTCTTGTAAATCAAACAAATCAATTCATAACCAAGCTAAATTAAATTGCGATTTTCAATATCATTTAGAAAAGTTATTCCGGATGGTTTATATGTAATACATACACATTATAATACATATGACCACAATTATATATATGTACTGTACACACGCGAGAAGCCGGGTCGCTAGTTAACACTAAAATACAATTAATATAATTTTAGTAATAAGTATAACATATTACTAGTTATAATTTCACCACAGGAGTATACATGTACATATATCAATTTATTGTTATAAAACCATAAGTTAAATTGTACATTAGTTTTATGGATTAAAAAGATAAAACAAATGTCTTATTAAGCAAATGTAATCATTCCTTACTTTTATCCCATTATTTAGGGTCGGCGCAGTATGTTGTATTCTTCCACTTCGGCCGTTATATCTGAGCTTGCTCCCCTTACACATATCCTCTTTCACACAATCCATCCATCTTTTTTGGTCGTCCTGTCCCTTTCTATCCGTCTATATTCATGTTTAATACTTTCTTAAAGCCATGGTCCACGCTCGTCCGCATAATATACCCATACCAAGTCCATCTGTTACCTCGCAGTTTTCAAACATTCTCATATATATCTTTATGATACCATCCAAAAGTGTCGTAAGTCTGACGTAATATTTCATAAAATACTAAAGCTATATTTTTGATCATGGAATAGATTGGTTCGATAATATAGATAGTCCGAAATAACTCTTTTTCCTTTTTCCTCTAGTAATGAGAATCTGACCTACGTAGATACTAAACTGGCCCTAGAAAATTAAAGAAGGTGAAGAAAAATAGTTTATTTTGGAGATAGCTTGAAGGGATTGTCGCAAGTCTATAATATAGGAAATAGATATGCTTAAATTTTAAAATTATACCAAACTCAAGTAACTAATATAAAAATTGTTTCAGATATTAATACAAATAATAGCCATTATTTATTCAATAATAATAAAAGACTATTCATTTAAAATTAGTAACTTTAATTTTAAGCACTTTACTTCACTAAGCATTGCCACAGTTATTTCAAACGCAATCTTATCTGTCGGTCTGAGCTAATCCTAAATAAGCACTTATCATTCTACTTATCAGAAAATATTGTCGAATATATATATTATCAAATAATATATCATTTATATTTATGTGTTGTGGCAATTATCTAACCCTACCAAAATATCCTAAAACGACGTTCAAGTTAATTCTTAAATATTAATATATTTATGTCATTCTGATTAGTCTATAATTAAATTAAAATAAACATATCATTGGAATTATTGGCATATATAATTACTATAGATCATTACCGTTTGTTTTTCTAATTTATGTAAGTATTCTTAAATGATATTTAAAACAAAATACGTTTTCATGTTAAAACGACATTTTAAATGAGTTACTACTAACTATATTAGTTTTCTTGTAATGAATGATGTATTACATATTTAATAATGTTTTTATACTTAAAGAATTACAGGCCGAAAAATTGAAAATACCAAAAATTCTATATATATTACCTTTATTTTGTCTGTAACAGATTATTTTTAGCGATAAGGCGGCCTTCATTAAGTAGATTCTTACAAAATGTGCTTTTTGTATTTGTTTTTAGTAGTCAGCAAAACTTATATTATTATAAAATTTTATAGAACCAACTTTGAAAATGAGCGTATAATAATTATCAAAGTCGTTCCTGGCAACTTAATATGTGAGTCTCAAATTGTTATTTTAGTAGACTATCGTATTGATATTCAGAATTTAATTTCAGCGGTCTTGAAAAGTTTATAGTTTATTTCTGTATACAAAAATTGTACTTTCACTAACACGTTTGAAAACTAAATCAAATTAAAGAACTAAACTTTTAATACCACGTAACTCGCTTTCATTAGAGTAAGGTGTCTATTACGAACACAGACAGCTTAAAAAACTACAAAAGTGAGTTGATTTAAAGACAATCTTGTTTGTTTGCCTAGGAATTAGTTGTGTTACTAGCACTTTATTATTTTACTACATTATTTTTTTGTTTAAGTACATACTAATTATTTTTCGCACATTTTTATCCCCTGATTCACCCTCCCAGATTATTTTGTGATAAAAATTTACCGTTCATTATGTGCTGCGACGATGAACAATTTTTTATTAAGTAATAATATTCATGTCAAATTTAATTGAGATCAATTAAGTCGTTTAAAGGTAAAGTGTAAAGGTAATAAGAACAAAAGTGGACAGACAGACAGGCAGACACTCTTTTGCATCTATAATATTAGTATGGATTATGTTAAAGGAATATGCTTTTAAATATTGTCTTGTCCATAATACAAAGAAAAAATTTACGTCCAAAGCTGCTAAAATGTCCTAGAAAATTTGATGATTTTTGTTTTGATTTGACTTGAATTGTTCTTAAAATCATAAATAACCTATTAGCTGACATCTGCATTAATAGACTTTCATTGCCTATATCAAAAATACTGATTGTTGTTTTAGATAAAACAAAGCCTATTTCCGACCTCGTGATTCAGTCTGTCTTGACGTCCACGTCAAATTTCATTAAGTTCCTTCAGCCGCTTAGTCGTGAAAAGGTAACAAACAAACTGACGTGCTCTTTCGTATATGTAATATTATATGTAGGTACAACATATGTATGTACTTAAGCACTGACCTTACCTTGTCTGTCTTGACATTAATTTAATCCATTGTAATTGTACAAACTTCAATAAACTATTCAATTATGCTATTTTGTTGTTTTTTGCAGGATAAACTAATAGCTACAGGTATAACGTCTAAAATTTAATTGTTTATAGAGTCAAATGTATAAATAACATTATTAATGTCTTTTCATTCGTAGATTATTGTATTGAAAAAAAATTTTATTTTTGACGATGGAATTAGCAGTATAATAAACTTAGCTCTAATATCCTAGCTGATGCTAAATATATACGTATCCACGTTACTCCTGTCTCCTCCTGGAGTAGGCGGGGAATAAGCCTAATATAGTAGTAACCATAATATAATATATTATGCTCACTAAATATATATAAATAAGGAAAGTTTATTGTCACTAGTGTTCGATAAAATAGTTTTTTTTTGTTTTACCAAATTCTTGACAATTTTGCCCAAAATCATCTAAGCAAGTTACTCGTATTGTAAACGATCGTTTGAAACCGGTTCTGTCGACTATTACCCTCATGAACGGGTTATAAATATAATTATACCTGCACTAGAAATAAATTATCAGGGAGGGGACTCGGCTTTAGTAGATATTTTTTTAATTTACTGCAATGCCAAACAGCTAACAGAAAGTGGCTAACGTCGCCTATGATTATGAACAGTAAAAGTATCACATCATGTAGCGTCTTTAATATCTCTAACGCGTTGTCATTCCAGAGGTATTCCTCTGGAATATCTCATGTTTCCAAGTAAACCACAACTTACATACCAAAAGTGCTTAGCAGCTGAAATAGGTGAGACAGATTTCCTATGTTGTGTACTCAGAGAATTTGTCATTGTGATAATTATCAAAGTTAAAGCACATTTCGTTTACTACAATGTAAACTAATCATAATAGTATAAATGTCTACATATAAAAGTCTAGGCATAGAAATGCCTAAGATATAGATAAAGTTTATTTTTATTTATTACTTAGATCTACTGAAATAATGTTTAATCTGACAATGTCACTTTGACTAAAAGGTTCAATTAATTTATAATAAATGTAAATTTTACTTTTAACGTTTCAAATGTCATTTTGAAATATGATAATAAGCGTATTCTCTTTTGTCCACAGAGTGAAAAATGGCTGGCGTTCGAAAATCTAAAAGAAGAAATCCTAGAGAAAATTCGAAAATTAGAAGAGGAAAGACATACGGTAGACCTTTGGTCGTGCGGAGCTGAATGGGGCAGAAAGAGACGTAAGAGACAGGTTACAGTGTCTCCACCGTACGTTGTTTATATGTTACCTGATGCTGATATAATGGAGGACTGGAGATTAGTTAGGAAATTATTGGAAAGGGCTGAATAAATTTAATGACTATTGATAAATTCAGTGTAAGTAATATTTTCGATTTGTTGTTTCATTTTTAAAGTCTTCTTGCTGCATTATTTACTGTTCACGGGTAACGTTATTGTGTTTGTTGAAAAGCGGCCATAATGAAACTGTTTGCCGAACAAAATTAATTCAATGTTCTTTTTCCAGCGTAAAAACATGCAAAATACGACCTTAAACGATATAAATTAAATGTAGAGTTAATTAAAGTCATTAGATGTATTTCAATGTAATAATGGTGTACCAAAAAATTTAATCCGCACTTCATCGATAGTTTCAATAAATATAAACCTGAAGATCTGTCAACATAGTTAATGTATGTATTATATAAGATATTTTGCCATTAAATCCCAATACTCTTTTCCAAGGTCGAGCATATATACAAGTTGAAACATTGTTCACAGAGCGAAGTAATCACACGATTGTAACCTTAGATTTATATAGGAGTCGAATTTAATTCATTGTGTGAATGTTTATGCCCTTAACGTATACAGGCCTATACAAAAGAAATAGATTTTTCATACAAACTAAGCTGTCATCTGCTCCATTTACTATATGATATTCCTATTTTACCATTTCATGTTTTTATGTTATTAGCTATTTGCTAAAGTAATTAATTTGCCTAATGATAATAGACATATATATATATATACTGGTTATGAGACACCTTCATAAACTTAACATAATTATTACGTACATCATAGAAAATCATGTTCATGATAGAGCTTACGACATTTGTTAGTGTTCAAGGTATATGTTAATTCAGGTGTACATATTTTGACTGTAAATATTAACTTGATTAACAATTACAATATTGTATTATTTAAATTTATTTGTAATATAAATAAGAAATACTGAGCCTATGATGAAACTAAAATTTTCAACCTGCGTTCTAATTTTTTTCGAATAAATTGAACATACCAGATGGTCGATTTCTTCATATACATATATGGACCAATATTGGTTTACCTATATGTAGTTTTACATATGTTTTTATATTAATTTCTGTGGCCGCTGATCTTACTAACACTAAGTTTTACACAAATTTAAGCCAAGATCACAGTCTTTTGTCCTACTTGCACTTGTATTTTCTTATTAGTGGATGGTTAGTTATGATTAAGCGCTTAAATTGTTTTACTTTATGACATCAGTACGCTAATTTTCTTTTAACATCATAACTACAATTTGAAGTACAAGTACTTAGTATTCTGAGTTTTAAAACAATACTAAATATTTTTACGTGTTATTGAATTTATTTGAGCGATCAAAACAATACGGATTATAGAGAATCGAATTTGTGAAAAGTCAGTCTGCTACATACCTCTAGTTAATTAATTTGACTGAATGTTATTTATTTACTTAACTTTAGTGGAAATGGGAAGGATTTTAAGAAAATAAACTTACAATTAATTGTATAAGTGCTTAAGGTATGTTATTTATATGTAAATTTATTAACCTTTTCTATTCCTTCAGTCATTTATCGTATACATCGAATGAATCTACATTTTGAATTCATTGTTTTTGTGTCCCGATTAAAAGAGTCGCTGTCATTCGATTGAAGTATTTGGTACATGTAAGTAACAAATAACAATAGAACAGTTTTGTATTACAATACGAAATAAAACTGATCATAAAAATGAAGCCGAAAGAAGTCGTTATATTTCAAAAATTTCTTAAGTACCCAAGATGATGCCCGTCTGTTTCTTCTTGTTGGAGTTTTCACGATGAGTAGGCCCAAAAAATGGTAACCAGGGTCTGATTATGGAGAAGATTGTTAGAAGAGCTACATGTAAGCTTGTTCTAATATATACGATGATTTTTATGTCAATACTATACAATATGAGAATTCTAAGTTTATGACTATGTCTATGTATCTAGGAATACACTTGCTTTAATTAATTTAAATCAAGAGAGCGCTTAATAAATTGCGATAATATTATTTTCTGCATTATTTATGTGACGTCATTTGATAAATATAGATGACACTTTGCCACAGACTATCAGTTTATTATGCCCAGATTGAAAACGTATTTGCATACTATTTACAACTTTATCTGTTTTTTATTTTATAAATAATAAATAGTGAATAGGCATGGTCAACATTAGCCCTTTAATACTGCACCACAATCCTGATATAGATACGATCCCTATGGGTATTTATATTGACCACTATAAATCAAAATATGTTAATATGGGTTTGTGTTCGGATTAAAGTTGTTTATGATTTAGGTTTCCATAAATATCCATTGTAATTTTGCAATCTTGATCTCAATATGGGGATTCGGCTTATGTAGCTAGAGAACACAGCCTTTTGTTAATACAAACAATATTACTAATATAAAATTTTTATGTTTCTACAATAAATATTATACTTAAAAAAAAATTAAATCTAAAAAATATTATATATATATAATAAAAAATATTATAGCTATATTTTTGATTACACTTGCTATATTGATTACACATTTAAATTAATGAAGAAACTATGTTTGAGAAATTTTGTGATTGTAGTATTTTGTTTTTAATAAAAATCTATGATCTTAAGTCTTAAAACCTTTCGCTGGCATTTATACATAGAGCTGTAATAAAAAAAATTGCAATGGCAACTAAAAGTGACGGCCCACGGAAGGCAATGTGGTTGCGTCTTATATACACGTCGTAAAATACATAGTAACATGTATGACATTAGTACTTGTTATTGACTAGCTTTACCTCTGTACACTTCAATTTCACTGGCGTATCTCAGCCTTTAAAGCGGAATACCGCCATCAAAGCAAGCTGTTTGAAGCAGACTTTTTACAAAGTAATAAACATATTAAAACATTTACCAGGTTTTATAATTAAGTATAACGTTTTTGTAATTAATAATAAAAGAATAAACCTGAATTTACGTAGTGTTACTGAACGTACGTAGTTAGTCCATTTACCTCCTTAATTTATGTATTCTGTACCTTATAACATTTTGTTAAATGTCGGCGATTCCACTATCAACAGTAAATAACTATCTATTGTACTAAGATGTATATTATGAAGAGAGAAAATTTTGCATTTAGTTTTAAATAAACAAATTGAAAAAAATAAATTTCGTTTTCTTTTCTTTTTTTTTTGTCTTTATTCCTGCTATTTTGAGCGTGTGGGTAGGAATGATCAGTGAAATAATTAGATTTTTTTCTTGTGGATGACAATAGAATGCACCCGCCTGTGCTAATGATTTACGCTGGCGGGCACTAGTGGAGGATAATAAGATGAACATGAGGTCAGGTCAGTTAGCCCATCGTGGTAAAATCACCATGAATTTATCACGATAATTTGCAGGAGGAACCACGTAGATGTCAAGCTGACATGGAACATTCCTAGCAATAGGGGTATTAGTCCACATTATTAACAATCCCCTTTCCCAAATTAGTACATTATAAACCAAAAGTAGATTATTGTTTAATAGCCATACTCACCTGTTTCAGCATGACGCGCATGACGCTATATACATTGTTAGATTAGATAAAGGTAAAATCGATTAGAAAAATAGGTTTTTTACATTTTTTTATGTTACGAGAATGGCAAAAAAGGCTGTCCACCTGATGGTAAGCGGTTACTGTCGCCTATATATGAATATGAATAGCACAAAGCGCATCACGTTATCACATGCGTTGCCATTCCAGAGGGATAATATATTTCGTGTTAAAATAGCAGTTTCTTTTCACACCCGATACAGTGTGCACGCTGTAGCATTTCTAATAACATATAAAACAATTTTAATTACACTTACACAAGTCAGTAAATAAATATACATTTTCGCCCTTCCCTTTATACTCTTTTCTATGGGTACCCCAATAGGACTATAGCAGTAAGGAACAATACTCGAATCGATCACTGTTCCTCGGATTAATTAGGTTTAGAATTAATTAGAACTAGTGTAGACTTATACATATCAAAGTAGTGTATTATACGTATTATCATTTATATACATATAGCTATTAATATCTGATATGTTACTTTAATCTTTTCAATGGGAAATGTTTATTCCACAGAAAGGTTCAGTAAGTACCGCCAGGTGTCTTTTGGTGTCTTTGGACAACATACATCCTATGTAAGTTTGAATAGAGAAAAGGCCCGAAGGACACTGGACTATCTAATATGTAAATTAACATTTTTCTGAGTCACTACTTATTGTAATTGGTTTGCTATAAAGATAAGTAACATTATTTTATAAAATCAACTGATGCACAGGAAAATAGTACGTCATTTAGATGCAGCTGAAAATAGCCATTCCATGCTAAATATAGAGCTAATGTTGTTATATATTTCAGTGACTTGGCAGTGATGGCACGCCCACCATTACATATTTATGTTTCAACTGTATAGAAATACCGCTAATTGTTCATTAGTTGGTAATAATAATGATTATAATATTTTCTACTATTTTTTGTTTGCTATACATTTGACTAAGATTACCTGATTGTCTGGGAATAGAAAGCCCCTATCTACAACTCAAATACTATTTGCATACAAAATGTCACAAAGTTCATGAATTGAAGCAATAAAAGAACAAATGAACAGTAAAAAATATTATGTATTTCTCCAGAAATCAATAAGAAATTATAAAGTCCAGAAGTAAAATTTAAGTTACATTGTCATAAGTACTAAATAGAAATAGTCTTTGTTCAATAAACTTACTATAAATACTTTGTTACTCCCGCAAATACTTGTACACCTACAATATTTGAAAAATGCGATATACAATATGGTAGGTAGATGGAAGCGAAAAACTTGTATACATCCCGTGGATTTTAACCAATTCGATACCACCAATTCTAAATGAATTGAGCTATTTTACAATATTTGTAAGTTATAAATATGGTAAGTAAGCCTGTATACAAAGCGAAAAACCTGTAATTAATGAAATTTAACAACTTACCCAAATTAGTTTTTTTTTTAATTGATGGCTTACCGGCCCGCACTGGCATAGGTGTACCGTAACAACATAGACAAAGTCAGGTCAGTTTGTCTTTGAAATTTAATTCACCATGGTATTATAACCGGACAAATAACACAACCTGAAGGCATCTCTATTATTCTCTTCCCCCACATATGAGAAGTATTTTTTTTCACGTGACTATTCTTCGTGGCCTTTAAGCTCGGCCTATAGCCTTTACCAGTACCTTTTTTTTTTTTTTTACTTGGAGAAAATGTCAGTCCACCGCAACTCCGGCGGCGTCGGCCCGCTTTAGTTTGCGGGCCCCTTCGCTTTTATTTTGGGTGTCCACCCCACCTCTCTTGAGAAGGCGCGCGGGGATACGCGCGCCACCTTCTCGGGCTTTTCTTGGAGATGCCACCGCCCCCGCGGTGACATCTCAGGCCCTTGCGGCGATCTGAGGCGCCCATGCGCCCCTCCACCTCGGATCGCTTTGGATGGAGCCACCCTTACTGGGCGGAATCCATCCTGCTCGGCCCGCTCTCACGGTTGGGGACTTTGGGGCCCGAGCGTTTGCCGACACCTTTACCCTTGGGCGGGGAACAGTTCTTCGCCCCCACCCAGTGGTCTGCCGGCCTGCCTTTAGAGGCACACACCGCACACCGCGGCGCAGACGCGCATGAGGCCGCCTTGTGGCCGCTCTCCCCACAGCGATAGCAGAGACCGCTGCGATCCTCCGCTTTGGTGCACTGGGCGCGCACATGACCCTCTTCTAGACAGCGGAAGCATCGCAGCTGTCTCTGTCTGAGCAATTCAGCTCGGACAACCACCCAGCCAACTTTAAGTTTCGCCGCGGTGG